ATTTCATCAAAGTTTGCTGATTACTATGGAGCTGATTATTTTATGAATAGGGGCATATTAATAACTTTTATAAGCATTGCTATGAAAATAATAGACACTCAAGAAATAAATTTTAGTAAAACAATTTTTATGGTTTTTATTAATAATCAATATATTACGAATTATATACATATTCTTTGTACATTAAATATAAATATTTAAAGGACTTTTTTCCATTCTATTCTTTTAAAGCCCTTTAAATATAAGTTATCGTAATGTAGAGCTCGTAACTCAATTGATATATTAATTTTTAAGCTAGATTATTTTGTATTATATCAGTGATAACAGATTATTGTATAAGGTAATAATATACATTGATATTTCGTTTAAAAATGTGTAATATAATGTTTTTTTTTGTTTTTTTAGTACTTTTAGTTCTTATAGGTTAAGTAACAATTTAGAAAATTTATGTGTGTTGTAATTTCAAAATTATGTTTATTTTTCATAGTAAAAATGATTTTGTATTTCTTTTTCTTTTTTTTAATGAAAGTTTAGTTTTTTTTTAAATATTTTCAATCATTCAGGTGTTTAGTTTCACGAATCAGTAGTTATCAATAGTTTTAAGTTTATTATTTATCCAATATATTCATGAGTTCCCATGTTGTATTCATGAATAATAAATAATTTTTTTGAATCATTGTTTTTCTTTTTTTCACTTATACCATTATTTATTTTAGTTTAAGAAATTAATCCTGTTTTTAATTTATTGTCATTTTTAGCTTCTAATCCTATTAAACGTATTATTTGGCTTATCTACTTTATTAATTTTTTTTTGTATTTCTTTTCTTCACTTTATTAAATATACTTAAAATCAGAAATCTATGTATTGAGTTAATTTAGTATTTAGTTTTTATTGTGGTTAATTTGAAGTTTTACTCAACTGCTCACAATTGAAAGTGTATGATTAAATGTACTATTAAGACTTATATTCTTGAGAATTTTTTCTTAAGAATTACAAACGATTTTTTTTAATCTTTATAAACAAAAAATTCCATTTTAGTTCCTTTAGTTGTAAGGAACTCATTTATAAACCTTATTTTGTTTCGCTATGAAGATGTCCCAATATAACTAAATAAATTATTTTGTACTTCCTTTGTTATTTAAGATAGAGGAAGCATGGTAATTAATTAACTATTTTTCTCATCAATTTACGTAGTTTGTTACCAGTTTGGTTTAAATAATAATACTTTATTTATTCTGGGATGAGTCCCTTTAATGTAATACAGAAAGACAGGAATGTGGGCTAAGGAGCCTCAGAGATATATAAACAAAAATACAGATTAATTAAATAGTCAGTAAAAAAAATAAAAATTATAAGTTATTTTCTAGTTTTAATCAGTTGATAATAAAAAAAAAAACATGAAGTAAAAGTAATGAATAACAAACTAATAGTTTATATACATATTTACAGTAGTATCTATTTACAATTTTATGGGAACTGGATGGATAAGAAATGGTTGAACAGGTGGAATTTAAAGGTAGGAAGGGTATTGGATTGACGGATATGGGGAGGGATGGAGTTTCACAGGGATGAGGATCGGATAATGAATGATATGTCGAAAGCAGTGGTTCGGTGGGCCATTATCTATAAATCAGAAGACCGAGGCGAACAGAGAATTTGAATTGAAAGAGCTCAGAGATGTATGAAGGACGATGGAATTGGATGACTTGAAAGAGGAAGGATGCCAGGAAATACTTATGACGGTAGGAAGGGTTGAAGCCACTTCAACTCTGCATAAAAACAGGAAACCCTGGGATCCCGAAGATGAATCGTACAAAGCAATTTATCAAAAGTTTCGCCCCCATATACCGTACAGCAATAGTCAAAGTGGGAAAAAATTAAGAAACTGACTAGGAGCCTACGGATTTCAAAGGGAAATAAGTGACGGGAATAATTTAGGCATTTTAGGGTGGACATGGTACGGCAGGAAATATTGCATACATGGTTTTTCCAGGAAAGCATTTGATCAAAGGTTATTCCAAGGTTTTTGATGGTGGGGTAAAATTTGATGGGATTATCATGCAGGAACAGATTTTAGATGGATCCGTTCAGATATTGATCAAATACTTTCTTTATGGCAAATTCTATTATGTTAAGAAGCTGTATAATACTCTACTAAAGCAGGAGATTCCAAAAAAGTTGGTAAAGATGCCCACATGGATGATGGAAACATATAATTAAGTTTGAATATTATACCCAAATATTTTGAATGAATAAGGATGAGCCAACTGGTGATTTCAGATGGCTAAACAACGCTGATTGTGTGAACTGTAATCAGTAAATATAATCTGGATTATGGATAGCTTGGCAGTGAATTAAGGGGTGTGGTGGCTGAGCGGATTAACATGTGTGTAAAACTTGCATTGGCCAGCAACCGGATGAACAGATGATTAGGAGTTCAAATTCCGCTGCCAACGGGACTTTCAACTCTGGCATTAATCCCATGCCCTCTCCCCTGTCATGGGAAAAAACCCAGTTCAGTCTTAAGAGGAAGAAGGTGAGAAAAAACAAGCTTTGCAATGAATTAAAGGAACGTGTGAAATTATTAAGTGTCTGAGGGGTAAAATGAAGCAAAAGTGGATGGATTGTGTTAAGACTGATCTTGCAGGGTTTGGTTTGGACGGCCATCGGAGGATGGAAGTATGTTGATAGGGATCGATGATATCCATCGAACCTTGGGGTTTCCTTAGCCTTTTATTATTATTAATACTTTACATTGTTTGAGTTATTGCACTATTAAAAAGAGATAATAAAAATTAAAGTCTTTCTTTGTTATATTTTCCTATTCCGTCATTCAACTAAACTGCTAAACCTATCTTGTATTCAATCCTTAGTTCAGAGTCCTTAACAGTTCAAAAAGATTTGTAGAAATATCTGTGGACAAAAATATCACCTTTCGAAATACAATCTCTATAACATTGACTTAAAAAATTATTGAATTGAACTTTAATTATTGAAGTATTAGCTGCAAATTTTGTCTGATAATTAGATATTTTTCAAAACTTTTAAACTTGATCCAATGAAAAACCATAGATGTTATTATATGTTGATGCCAAAATAATAATTTTGTAGAAAAGAATGTATATCAATATTTATTCAAATTTAAAATTTACTTAACATACTGGAATAGTACTTAAGTTATAGCATTTATTTATTTATTTTTTTTGTTCTTTAATACAATGCTTACAAAAAGTAATTTAATAAAAAATATTAAAGTAAATTGAATAATTATTTGAGTTACACAGATTTTTGAGGAAGTGGCTATATAAAAGTTTTTAATTTTATTAAGTTTAAGTTGAAAATCCTTATTTAGGTAATGAAATAACTTGGGCTGTTATTATTTTCATCATGTATTTATCCATTCCACTTCATTTCAATTTTTGTTCTTATGACAACACTTCGGCCATTATGTGATCTTCAAGCCAATTGATTTATTTTTTATTTCTCATCACTGTTTAATTGAATTAATGGAAGGACACTTCCATACAGTACTCGAATTATACAGCAGTGAGAAATAAAATAAACCAATTGGCTTGAAGATGGTCTAACGTTGCCATGACAACAATAATTGTGGATTGAATAACACATAGGGAAAAAAATAACAGCTCAAATTATTTCAATACCTATACAAGTTTATATCTATTTTATTATATAAATATATACAGCATTTTAAATCTCTACAGTCCAAAGAAATTTAATTTTAAATAAAGTCATAAAAACTAATCCTCTCACCCCCACTGTTGTAATATTTCTGTAGTTGATTCTACAGATATTATTGATTGCCATGACATATTACTCACTTCTTTCAACATCATATATCGAGTTTCTTATCATAGCACATATTGTGAATTTCCATTTTCATTCACAAAATTGATTTTGATCCAAACAAAAACTTTGGATAAAATTTGTTTTGTTGCAAAAAAAAAAGAAAACAAAAAATTTCAGACCTCTTATTATTCACAGAAACAATGTGATTAAAAAGAACATATCAGAATTAGATTATTTGCTAAAAATAATTTACAATGCTGACGGAAAATGGATTTTATTTAAAAATAGAATAATTTGTTTTCATGTGGAGCTCATAATTTAAAAAAAAAAATCATAATTTTTAGTTGTGCCTGTTTTCAGAATGCCATTAAACAATAGTATATTCCTGCAGGAGATCATATCTTTAAATAATTTATTTGAAAGAGACCAGGAACGTTTTTTTATTATTAAATATTTCTTATATTAAGTAAAACTTTTTATAATTTTTTTCTTAAAACAAAAAAAATTCTGGTATCTAAAAAAAGATCTGCTGCCAAATAAAAAAAGTTCAATTAGTGTGTTGATGTTTATTTTTAGTGAATTTTGTTTTGCTTTTTAAGTTGTTCCTGAAAGATTAAGGTTTTGTGATGTCAGTTGCTGAAAGGAGTGAGCATCATATGATCTTAATTAATGATGAAGCCCCTCTATTTGTGGTCAAATTTGTTAATAAGATTGTATCTTCTTTTTATTTATTTTATAATTAGTATATTTTCCCATTATGTTTCCGATGATATATCTTATTTAAATTTTTTTTTTATCATGTTTTATAGAACTTTATTTTATTTTTTATTAGTTCTATAACCCTTCATTATGTTTCAAATTTGTGTTATGTACATTGTTTGGTGATAAAAAAAAAATAAAATAAAAAGTTAAAGGGCACTAATGTGTTTATTAAGGAATTGATCTAAGCAGGTGGCAGGATGTAACAAAGTATGAAGGAGAGGGAGAGAGTTAAATTGTTAACTTCTTTATTTTAAAAAAATATTCCACTTCAATTTGTGAGTAGTTAATCTGTTGATAATTCTTATCGATTGTAATAAGATCATTTTTTTTTTTTAAGTTCATTATATTAGTAGCTATGGAGTTTGTCAATAGAATTTTGATCTTTTTAAAATTTGAAGATTTATTTATTTTTTTGTATTTTTTATTTCAGGGAGACTGAACGGTATGACAGAATTGGAGGACGAGAACGAGATAGAGATAGAGAACGAGACAGAGAACGAGATAGAGAAAGGGACAGGGATAGAGATCGTGACAGAATTGATCGGGATAGGGATAGAGTGGATAGAGATCGAGTTGATAGGGATAGGGTTGATCGGGACAGAGATAGGGAGAGAGATCGAGAAAGGGATAGGGTAGAAAGGGATAGAGAAAGAGACAGGGTGGAACGAGAGAGAGTGGAGCGAGAAAGAGTTGAGAGAGACAGGGTAGAAAGAGAAAGGATTGAAAGAGAGAGGGTTGACAGGGAAAGAATAGAAAGAGAGCGAGAAAGGGATCGTGACCGAGAAAGGGAACGAGATAGGGAGAGAGAACGTGAGAGAAGCTATTCTTATAAAAGATATGATGTCCTAGAGCCTGTAAGGTATGAAGAGCAACTAAGAGATCTAACTGGAAGGGATTGGGAAAAGACCAGGGATCGGGAGATGGAAATTAGGGAACGTGAGCGACAGTCCGAATATTACAGAAAGAGAGACATGCGCGGAAATGTTGAGATCATCGAAATGTCTCGAGAACCTATAGCTCCCCCAGGTGTCATTGAAGAAGAAAGAGATAGAGTTCTTGTCCCCCTTCCGATGGATACTGAGCCTCTTGAAAAGTCTTCTCCAGACAAAGAAAAGAAGCCCAAAGAAAAGAAAAAGAAGAAGAAAGATGATCCTGAGAGAAAGAAAAAGAAAAAGAAGATAAAAGATAAGTCTGATACTAAGAAGGATGCTCCTGAAGAAGGTGAAATAGTATCTGAAAAAAATGAGCCTGAACCAGCATTGGAAGATAAAAAAGATGAATTATACGGAGATCTGGGTGCGAATGTTGATCAGTATGTTGTGCAGAATTATAGTAAGCCATTTGAAGAGAAGAAAGAAGTGGTAGATAAGGATGTAATGTTAGCTCCTGTACCTGAACTTTCTAAATGGGAAAAAGACGAAGAAATGCTGAGTGAAGTTGAGGAGAGCAAGAGAATTGCGGAAGAAGAAGATAAGCAACTAACTCCTGAAATGCTTGAACGTGCAATGAACGCACTCTTTAAGAAAGCAGTGAAACCAATAGAAAAGAAAACTGATAAGAAACCTGAAAGAAGAAGTAGGGAAAGAGAGAGGGACAAGAGGGAAGAAAAAGAATCTGATAGACATACTAAAGACACACCCAGGTCAGTCGCTCTGCCTGTCAAGGTTGATTATGATAAAAAGAGTAGCAACAGTAATAGTAGTTCTAGTAAAAATAGATCACAGAGTAAACCTAACAGCGTAAGAATATCTGCAAAAGAAAGGCTTGGTGCTAAAATAGAAGATAAGTTAGTTGTGAAGAAAGAAGTAAGAGGCGACAGGAGAGAAATAAAAATTGAGAAAATACCAAAAAGTGTTGTTAGGAAGGAAAGGGACAATGTAGAAAAGTCTAGAACTGGGAGTAGAGAGCGTAGGAGGTCCCATTCCAAGCAGAGGGAAATTAAACAAGAACCCTCTGTAGACGTGGCAGAAGCCAAGAAAGCTAACTTAGAAGAACCCCATTTCGAGCCTGATTATGAAAAATCCGATCATGAAGCAGAAGAAAAGAAGCCTTCTGACGGACAGCAAGCCAAGAAAAGATCTCCTAGCATTGACAAAGGCCCTGAAGTAAAGAAGCTTAAAGTAGACGCAGAAACAAAACCATCATCTGAAGACTCCAGTGCCAGCTCAGATGATTCTGAAAAAAGTCACAAGAAAAAAAGAAAGAAGAAGAAGAAAAAGAAAAGCAAGAAAAGGAGGCATGATTCAAGTAGTGAGTCTGATTCTTCTGATTCATCATCCACCTCAGAATCGGAGAAAAAGAAACGGAAGCATAAACATAAAAGTCATAAGAAGTCAAAGAAACGAAAGAAGTCTAAAAGATAAATATTGTAATTTATCACCTTTATTTTATTAGATATGTGTAAATTGATGTGCTAAAGAGGTATATGTACATAAATATTATGTATAATCTTACGATAAAAATATATGTATATATTATTTATAGGAAATTAAGAACAATTCATCCTTAAGTTTTTGTTTTGTATGCATTTATTTTCAATTATGTATATACAAGTTTTAATGTGATCTTTGTATTATAAAGTTTTTCTGAAATTTATGTTATATCTTTTCTCAATTACTACATGTACATTTTCTTCTTATTTTTTTCTTCTCTCTTTGTTTTTTGTAAGAATAAGGTAATATTTTCATGAATTAAGGAATTATTTAGGTTTAATATGATTGTACATATGAACGTAATTGATGTTTATTTATAAATAAATTCTTTTCTATAAATATTATTCTTTATTTGTTTCCTTTTACATCCACTTAATTTAAAAGTTTGTTGAGGGTTCACTTTATAAAATATGTTTTTAATTATTATCAATTTTTTTAATGTGGTTTACAACTTTCTGGCTTAACCGGAATGAAAAGTGTACAATTTAAAAAGTGATCTATTTATAATGAATATTAGATATAACACTTTTTTAGTTGCTTTTTTTTTTTTTTAAACATAATGTACAGAATAGCATAGAGAGGCTTTCCAAGTTTGAAATAAGAAGAATGGAAGGGGTCCCTCCCCCACTACCTTGATTCATTCCCAAGTCTTGATCTCAATAAGATGCAAGTATCCTTTCTTGGGATTCTAATATAAAAACGCTAACACAAACTGGTCATTGATTCAATCAACTTTCAAGGAGATATGATAAAGTAGATTTCGTCTTTTTTAATTAAAAAACAAAAATTAATAAGACAAACAAACATTAGTTGTTACAATTTGTAACTGCTCTGTTGTATTCATATTTATTGATAATATTTTTGTTATCATAATTGTTTTATTGTTGCTCGTCATTTGTATTATTGATGCTCATCTGTTTTGGGGAAATTGGAGAAGATAGTTTCCTCTATCCTAAATTTTTGTTTTCTATTTCTTCCTGATTTTATGATTTAATTTAATTTAATATAATTAATAAATTAATAATTTAATATAATTGGTGACATCAACAATAAGTTTTTATTTGATAGTACATTTACTAAGTTTTTAATTTTACAGAAATATTTTTCTTATGACTTTTTTTTTTCAAATATCCAGTTGTAAGCATTGACAAATTTGAAAAAAATAGCTATTTAAGCCATGGTATAAAATACATTATAAGCAAAATTAACTTAGGTTTAGTTACGTTCATTTCAATTTAAATTTTTAAAAATTAAAAATAAGTTTTAATTTCAATTTTTACTTCAAAAATACTGCGCATAACTACGGTTAGTGTGAAAATTACTTGTGAAAATCGCTAGAAAAATCAGTTTCAAAAGCTGACTATCTTTAAATTTTAAACCACAGTATATTTTGAATAAATCATTCAGTCTTCAGACAGAGCCATTTTAAAAATAAATCCCTAATAAAAGAACTTATACTTATTAAAAAATAGTGATAGCAAAGATAAGAAAATAAATACCATCCCATTAAAGTTAGAGCTGTCTTTATGCCAATGGATTGAGGTTAGTGAGCCCTCAATGTTATTCTGTATTCTTTAGCTTTAGATTAATATCTAAAGATCAGGGTAAATGGTATCACATGTTTCCACTAAAAATATGCCATGACAATTATGAGTTATTCCTCATTGTGGGTCAATGATATGTATTTTGAGCATCTTGAAGTACTTTGCCGATCATTTCATGTTAATAATTATCTACCCCTTAACGTTTATTTCATTACACCATCCAAAAAAATGATCATTTTATTATTTATTTAGTATATATTTTGTTAGTTGAGGGAATAACATATGTTCTATGTTTATTACAAAATGTCTCTCTAATCAATTGTTATTTAGTAAGTGCATCAAAATGACACACCCTTTTATATATAAAAAATAGTTACGCTAAATGTACAATCTTCTGGTTTCACAGAGAAAAAATTTATCAAATGTTGAAATAGGGTTATCCATCCTCCCAAGTTTGATGCCATATATCCTCCCTTTCAAGGGATTTTTTAACATTTAACTTTTAAGGGATACTTTTAAAATAGAAAACAAACTTTATTCTGGGTCAAAGTTCCCTAAGAATAACAATAATAAAAAAAAAAAAAAAAAAAAAAAATCTGTCCTAAGACTAACTTAATAAAATTCTAACAATATATACAGTAATGTTAAATAATAACATTTTTTTTTTGTTTTGTTTTTAACACCTCTTGACTCTTTTGACTTCTGCCATTAGTCTTCTCACAGCATTGGGGCTGTTCTTGGTGATAAGCTGTGATCATTTGGTTCTCTTATATTGATATCCAGGAAACACTTGGTTTATTATAACCGGAAGCGATTACAATCACTCCCTATAAATAATAATGTGTGAACAATTAAAAAAATAAATAAAATCCTTTTTAAAAATAGTTATAGTTATAATGTGAGAAATAAAAACAAAAAAATATATATGTTATATATAGAAAGAAAAATAAAAACCTGAAGAAACAAAAAAAATATTTTTGGTGTTAAAAACATAAATAATAGGCTAACTTAATAAAAATGTTAATATATACAGTAACTTAAAAAATAATCTGTAAATATTAAAAAATAAGAATAAAATCTTCTCAAGAATAGTTGTAATGTATGTGAAGAGAACAAAAAAATATATATTGTATATATACAGAAAGCAAAAACAAAACAAAAGCTTTCAGGTGAAAATTAACAATAAAGTTTAAAATTAGGAACTGTACAAATAATCTACAAATTAAGCCAAACTAGGCTATACATTCGTCTGACACACTAGCGGAACCAGGATTTAATTTGTGGGAGGAGGGCTTCAGGCCGAAAGCGGTTTTTTGTTTTTATAAAAATAACAATAATTACTTTGGAAAAAAGGAAGAAAGTAACTTCTTATATGAAATGGAGTTTAAGTGATCCCTAAAGTACTTATGAATTACACGAACAATAATACTTAAGAGATAATTTTTTAATATTTTTTTCCATAAAACATAACTATGTTTTAAAAATATAACCACATTTTACCATTTTGGAGGGAGGGCTTCAGCCCCAAAGGCTCTCCCTCCTCCCCTGTAGATCCGCCCATGGTCTGACATAGTAAGACATTTATTGCACTTTAATACATAAACTTATCAGTGTTTTTAAAATTTACATTGCAATTGGGAAATGCAACAAAAATATGATACTATAATATGTATATATTAGCTATTATTATATGAAAATAGTTTAATAGGAAATTATTTTCCGATAGATATTTAATGGCTATTCCATGTTAGACGGTCCCGTAGCCATCTTATTTTCAGAAGCTTCGCAGAGCTATTGGAATGAAAGATTACAAAATTGTGAACATGGTGCTGGAAATTACCTAAAAACTATTTTAGGAGAAATATGAATAAAAATCTGATTGTTACATAATGAAGAGGAATAGGGATACTTCAATTTTGAATTATAAGGATTGAATAAAGGAATTAAATGGTTTAGAGCATCCTTTAACTGTATGAATCCAAATAGACTTTGTAATAATAATAGTTTCTATTAGCTTTTTATATTAAATTGAATATCTATAGCATTTGTAATGTAAACGTTGGAAAATTGGAATCTACGAATAGTTCCTTGTCTTTCCAATCTTATATGAGGATCCATTTCAAAAAATTTATATTCGGAAAATTAAAAAAAAAAAAGTAAATTCTGTTATTTTTAGAATATTTTAAAACAAAAACTCGAATCTTCTGTAATCATTAACTTAAATTGATGAATAAAACATGACAATTTTATTGGTAGTTTCTTAATTTCTAATTTTATAGTTTGCGATGTAACAAATATATTGCATGTTTTAATAAGCTATCATTATCAGTTGATACATCTCTATGTTTGGTAAAAATGTTCTGGAATTTTAATTAAAATAAATACAAAAAATAATAAAGTTGATGAATAGATCTCAATGTTCACTTTGACACATGAATTTAAGTTAGTTGTCGAACAGTTTCAATTAAGGTTAAAATCTATCATATTAGCTGAATATTACATATTTTTCCAAGCCAATAAGTCTATTGTAGATTCGTATTTTTAATATTCACAACCTGGATACTTACAGGTCCCTTGGGTCAATTTAATTAAAATGTATATTTCATAATTGAAATCTTTTAATGGCTCATTTTTAATAAAAAAGGAATGAATTTAAAGATGATCTGAAACAACTATTAAATTATTATCCTATAATTATTATTCATAAGTATATTAAATATGTGCCTACTGGATGAGAATTCATTCTGGAAATGTAATTTATTACATATTTCTTTTAACTGTGCATTACTGATAATTTAGCCCTAGCTCATAACTTTGATTCTACTTCTTGATTGTTCTCAACCAAGAAATATATTATGCTTCGATTAAAGACCATTCTCCATGAATAAGAATTAAAGATTTTAACTTTTAGGGATGATGGGATTTGATTATTGTGTATAAATTGGTTTCTGGTTTCTATGACATACTGCTGATATAGATAGTATCATTTATTTAGCTATAAAAGGCAATATTTCCCCACCGTCCGAAGTCGCTTGAAAGCTAAGTGGGTTCTCCCGGACTACTGGGTCTCTCAATTCCTTACTGGCCATGGGGGTTTCCGCTTTAAGTTACATAGTTTTGGAAAAGACATAGATCCCCTATGCCCCACTTGCGGAGTACCGGAGACGGCTGAGCATATTATCGTCAACTGCACCGCCTTTGATGGACTAAGGGCCGAATTGATAAGAAAAATGGGAATCTATGGCCTCACGGAGGATGAATTTCCCGACTTAGTGACGGAGCAGAACTACCCGTATTACAAAGATTTTGTGTACGGGTGGAAAGCTGCTCTGGGACCCTCCCACTTTAATCTAGGAAGAGAACCTGCTAATAGAAGGCCACCAGACTAATATATTGAAAATAATGAAAAAAGAAGATATTTGAAAAACAAAACAAAATTGAAAATTAATTTGTGGTTTAATAGCAGGAATGGCATGCACGTGTGTGATATGCCATCCCTGCAAAATCCCGTGTAGCCGAAAGGCAAGGAAGGGAGGCATAAATAAATAAATAAATAATAATAAATAGCTATAAAAGGCATATTCCTGAATTAAGAATAACTATATAGAAATCTTAGGGAGCGGGGTAACTCA